AGATGCATAGAAGAGCATTCAGGAACCCCTACACTGCCCACACAGGCCCAGCTAGGCTCGAAGGAAAGGAAGGTCTTGGTGGGTAGAGAGAGAGAGAGAAAGAGAAATCAGGAAGTGCACAGAAGGACGAGTCTCTCAAACCTTGCCCACCGCATGATTCACCAAGTGGTCACCTGCCAAGCACTTCACAAGCTTTGCTTCATTTTGATCTCAGAGCAGCTTCATGACCTGGATTCTTTATTCTCCCCATTTATAGGTGAAAGCCAGAGGAATCGGCTTCCCCAAGGCCATGTGCCCTTGAAGTGGCAGAGTGAGGGCTAGGGCTCTTGTTAGTTGGGTTTTGATTCCACGCTGTGAGCTGTGTCACTGTCCTGCTAAGCTGTGCTCACATGGTGGTGTGGGGGAGGCAGAGCAGGCAGTGGGAGTGACCGGGGCAGAGACACAGAGAGGGAAATGACCTGATGCTCTTGGGGCAGTGTGAGCTGGCACTTGTGGGCTGCAGGTCAGGAGGCTTGGAGTGGGGCTCTGCTGCAGGAAGAGCGTGGAAAGTACATCCTGGGGAATTAAGCCTTAACCTGAGGGCGAAGGGGCACTAATTTGCTTCCCCTGTGGGCCCATCTCCGTCCTTCACCACCCTCCTCTGAGCACAGGAAGAAGCCCTGCCTGGACCCTGTCACTGAGTTTCTGTGTCCTCTGGTCTTGGCAGGGCTTCACTGATGGGATGAGAGGGTGGGAAGAGAGGTCAGGGTCACTGCCCTGCCTCCCCAGCTGGCTGTGGCCTCTGACAGGAAGGCATCAAGATTGGCTGGTCCACCACTGAGCGACCTCCTCCAGGGCTAAGGGAAACTCTCCTTCTGCTCATTGAGGTCTGGGGGTGGAATTTTCTTGGCAGCCACAGGCCAATGTTTTCTATATCTCCTCATATTTTATTGCAGGTTTTTGGTAAATAAGCTCTCCTAAATTGACCTTGAGAGTGTTGCCAATTTCTATTGGACTTATACAGCTCTTTTGAGCTACTTGACATGCAGGTCAGAAATCCTGAAGCCAAGGTATCAGCAGGATGCATTCCCTTTGAAGGCTTGAAGGAGAATCTGTTCCCTAGCCTTTTTCAGCTTCTGGAAACCCCTTGCACACCTTGGCTCATGGCCCCTTCATTTTTAAAGCCAGCAGCATAGCATCTTCTCATTTCTCTCTTTTTCTTGTCTCTCTGACCCTCTGTTCTCTCTCTTACCTGAATCCCTGAGCCCTCTTCTAAGGATCCTTAGGATGATAATTGGTCCTGCCTTAGATAACCTTAGATAACCCGGGGTAATCCTTGCATGTCAAAACCCTGAACTTAAATCTGCAGTGTCTTTTGCCATCTAAGGAGACATAGTCATGGGTTCTGGAGAATAGGATGTAACCACCTTTGGGGGCCACCATTCAGCTTGCAGCGGTCAGAAAGCTTTGAACCTAGAAATCAAGCCAGGACAGTTTCAGAAGTAGATCCACATTTCCACCCAGCCCTAGGAATTCTCATAAATGACCAGTAAGGCATCTGTGCTTCTAGATTTCTTGACTGACCTTTTTCAAGTCATTCAAGTTATCTGAGTCTCAGTTTCCCCATTCTAAAATAAGAAACTTTCTCTGGATGTGCTCCGAACCCAGTGTTTCAATGAGTATCTATGTTTTCAGGGAAATCAGGCCTCACAACCATATATTTGAATAGAAAATGCAAGCACACATACCCACACCACACGCCGCACCCCTGGCTTGGGAAGGAAAGCATGTGCATGTGGTGTTGGGCATCAGGGTGAGGTCTGATGCAGCAGTGCCCACCTCCCTGTGCCCCCTTGCTCAGAGCATGGCACACGGGATGTTAGGAGCTTAGGGAGGATTTGGGAGAAGGTACAGTGAAGGGGAGGGCAGAAGAGGCTGAGGAAGAGCCCTGTGGTGGCCGGCTGGGCACAGCTGCAGAGAATGAAGCCTCTTTCTTCTCCTTGTACAGCCCCCTGCAGCTTTTGATCCCAGAATGGAGAGGGGGCATCTGCGATCCTCTTTCTCCCAGGCCCCATCACACATGATTACTACTGACTGACACCTGTTCTTCCCTTTGGCTGCTCTTTCTCACCTTATTCCTGAACTGGGAGGACCCAGCCCAGCTCAGGCAGCTCCCTTGGCTCCCACTGCATAAGCAAAGCTCAATATGGTCACACAGCTGGGGCTGGAAAGTGGCAGAAGTGAGTCCGGAGAGGCAGGTGGGAGGCAGGTCACCAGGTCTGGCTCAGTGATAACAAGGGGGTTTGGCTTTCTCTGGAAGGCCCCGGGGAGCCATGGGAGGGATCTGAGTGGTGGGATAGATGCATTTTAGAACAATCCTTCTGGCTGCTTGTGGAGAACGGATTAAGGGGCAAAAGCAGAGGCTGGAGACCATTGAGGAGGTTGCTCATACAGGTGATGATGATGCCTGGCCCTGTGGAATCTCAGCTGGGTGGAGAGAGAGGATAAGACTTGAGCAATGCCAAGAGTTGTTTTGGTGGGCTGTGTGTTGCTACAATAAAATACTTGAAGCTGGTACTTTATACAGAAAGGAGGTTTATTTAGCTCACAGTTCTAGACCTTCAAGAGCATGGTATGGGCATCTGCTCAGCAGTGGTGAGGGCCTCTCGGTGGAAGGCATCACAGTGGCAGGGTGGCACATGAGCTGCACCGATCACATAATGAGACAGGAAGCAAGAGAAAAGGCTGAGACAGCTGACCGCAGCCCAGAGCAACCCATGTTTGTGACAAGGAGTCCACCCAGACAGGCCAACATCAATCCCTTCTGAAGGCAGAGCCCAGGACCTGACTGCCTCCTGCCAGGCCCCACCTCTTATAGGTCCCAACCCTACCCTGGAGACCAAGCTTCCAGCACCTGAAATTGTAGGGGACACATTCAAACCACATCCAAGCCATGGTAGAAACCTACTCAGCAAGTGCTGGCCATGAGCCAGGTGCGGAGAGAAGGAGATGAGGAAGATGGCACTTTGCACTGGGGTGACTGGTGGAGCTGGTCGTCGTCTACCCAGCTGGTCCTGTGAAGAGAAGTGGGTTGGGGTAGAGGAGGAAGGTGAGTGGATAAAGGGAGTTGGAGTTGAGCTGTGGATCATCCCACAGGGCAGTTCTGAGAGACACTCAGGACTAACGGGAGTCACGTGTGTGTCACCAGCTCAGGATGGCGGGAGGAAAGCCAGCAGCCAACGAGATGCCTTCAGGAGCAAATCACATCAGGCCACCTGGATGCCGATGGTTTCCATCTTACTCCACATAAAGTCTAATGTTTCCTTAGGGGCACAAGCTCCTTCATGGCATCCCCATCCCCTCCCTCAGCCTTGACCTTCTCCCTATTCACCCCGTCCCAGGTGCACCAGCCTCCCCACTCCCTGTGGCTGACAGTCAGACAGACATCCCCAGTCCATCTTGGTTCCAGATGTCCTGTCTTTTTCCTCTGTGTCCGTCAGCCTGTTTCCCTCGATCTAAAGTTGGAGGCATTATATGTCTACAGACAAGTCCAGTGAACATCTTCTCGCCCTGCATGTGCCCTGACTCCAACCCAGGCCTCCAGTCCCTGGGGTCTACTTCTTGGTCACTGGTAAGACACTTGGTCATTGCCTTTTCTTGAGAGTCCCCAGAACCCCTCACAGTTCATCCCACAATGGGCCTGTCAGCATCTTCCGGGAAAGGAAGGGCTGGAAACCCACCCTGGGACTCCTAAGGGAGAGGGAGGAGCACCGGAGAGTGGGTGTCCATGGGCTCCTTCTCCAGGGTTGTTGGGTGCTAGGGCTGTAGTCAGTGCTTGTCAAGAAGAGTGATCAAGAAAGCAATGTTCACTGGAGGCTTTTTTTTTGAGTAAAATCCCTTCATTTGTTCAGAAATAATACTGAGCACCTGTCACATGCCATGCATTGTAAACAAGTTGGCAAAGACTCTGCTCTCACAGAGTATGTTCTACTGAGGGCAGACAGTGAACAAGGAGACCATAGTGTTGGAGGGATGAGGGTATGAAGAGAAACATGGGAAGATGTCACTTGGAGAAGTAGGGGTTCTTTGCATCCAGGAGGTTAAGACCTTTCTGAAGAGCTGGGGTTCCATCAGGGACCAAGTGAACTGGGTTATGAGGCATGTGGCCAGGATGTTCCAGGTGGAAGGAACCAGTGCAAAGGCCCTGAGGCAGCAAGGCCACAGGGAGTCACAGCTCTGGGGAAGAGTGCACAGTGGCAGGAGAGAGGAGAGGTTGACTGATCCTGGATCATACATGACCTACAGGCCATGATCAGGAATTGCTTTGGATCTCAGGAATGATGGAAATCATTGAGGAGTCTGAAGTAAGAGCTGACATAGTTGAGTCTGGTTTTAAGAAGATTCCTCCCAATGTACAAAGAGAATTGGCACAGAAGGTGAGGCTGGCCATTTAGAGATGATGGCCTTCAGGAGGAGCTTGGATGGGTGGAGGGGAGACGAAAGCCCGGAGAGCAGGCAGTAGGTGGCAGATCTGGAAGCAGGAGGAGGCATTTCTCACCATTCCCAGGCCCTCCCAAGAAGCCGAGAACACTGCACTAGGATCTGAGTGCAGAGGTCCCATTTGCCCACCAGCCTGCAGGGTCTAGAAGACGTGGGCTGTTAAGGGACGGCTGAGGGAAAAGTGCTCCTAAATGTCAGAAGACGCACAGACGTCCAGGGTACCGACTGGCAGCAGAGTTTCAGGAACATTCCCTGCACAGGGATGGGGCACGGAGAGTGTTTTCAGGGACAGCAAGAATGACACTTGATGACTGCAAATATTGATCTGAACTCCCGATATCTGCCCGGCATCTCCCCGCATCTGTGGGAGGGGAGAGTTACCTCCCTTGCTTTGAAGAACAGGAGAATCAGAGCAGCTGGTGACCTTCCAAGTCTGCACTGCTCACAGGGGACAGTATTGGGGTGAGGACCCATGTCCACTCTATGCTGGCTGATAATGATGTTTTTTCCGTTTTGTCTAGTCTGAAGGACTCCTGTCCCTTCCTCCTGGGGTCACAACGGAGTAATTCCTGCACCTGCCTCCAGGGGGAGCTCTGAGGAGAAAGTGCAGCCAACAGCAGGGCTGAGTTGTGGCTTCTGTACACCAGGGTGGTCACCCTGCCTCCCTGGGCCGCTTTCCAAGCCTTCCAGTGGGCCGCTCCCTCTTCTCCCAGACCCTCCTCGGCCGTCACTCAGCTCCGCCCTCTGCTCCTTCCCGTCGTGGACTAAGCATAACCAAGCCATTCTTTGATGCACTGAGAGCTTCGGGCTCCCCCAGGACAGGAACTATGTTCACGGGCTTATTCTGTGTTGCAAACTCCTCTGAACATTTGACCTGTATAACGCTTGCAATTCTGTTAACAGCGCTATTGTTCCCATTTTACGGATGTCCCCGAGAGAGGTAAAGTGTCTCTCTCAGGTACACCCAGCTAGCAGGTGTCCACCTGACCTTTGAATTTATACCATACCTGGCTGAGAGTAGACATTCAGGGAATATCTGTAGCAGCAACAAAGGCTTGGGTTTTATTAGAAAAGGGCTGCGTTGTAGACTGACTATATGATCGCCAGGACTTTCAGTGCCTCACATGTCAGAGTCATGACTTAAGCTGCTGGAGCATCCTGCTGGGACCAGGCTGTGGCCAGCCCTTGCCTCTGGGCATCCAGCAGAATGGACAGTGTCAGCTGGAGAGCTGAATTATGGCCTTTGAAGACCCTGGGCACATTTAGCTTCTTGGTCCCTTCCTCCATTACAAAAAATTTAAAATATATTTCAGAACACTGCTGGTGTGAAGAGGAATATAAATCAGGTTGGATTATGCTCATTCTTTGCTTTTAATTTTAAAAGAAGTGAGCTCTCCCTTTGAGCAGTTTCTTTCCCTTTCACAGTATCTATGGCAATCTTGTTTAGTGAAAATCTGCATCATTTCTAAATTTTAATTATTTTTATTCTCTTTCAAAATATAAAAAAAAGAAATGAGCTCTCAGCAGGCATTATCCTGGGTCTCATGTTCTCAGTAGAGTCACACAACACACATTTGCAAAGGGAATGATGGTGCCCATTACAGAGACAGGAAAACTGAGGCCCTGATGTAGGTGCATGATGGTCTATTGGAGAAATGAGGTCAGGGGCCTGGGGAGCCCAGGTCAGAGGTATGACGGGGCTCACTTTGGAGCCTTTGTTAGGATTCTTCTTTTGGGATGCCGTGGGATTGCTCTGTGACCCAGGGTGCTGTCATCAGCCTGTGGCCCTCTGCTGGGTCTCATTGTCAGGAGTGGCCAAGCTTGTGAGAATCACGTTGCTCAGGCTCTGGGGCCATGTGCAATGACAGCTCCATCCAGCACAGCCCCCCTCTGGTAGGTGACTCCGGCTCCGGTGCTCCTGGTGGGACTGACCCAGGCTGCCCGTGGCTGCTCCTCCACTTCATGCAGCAGAGGACCCCACCGGGCTGGGATGCAGGGCTCTCCTGATGAGCTGAGGGAGATCAGGATGGCTCTGGGAGCTCCATTGTCCAGCCAAGTGGGTGCAGAGTGTTTGCACCTACAACTTTGCCCTGTGGTTCAAGCGAGCAGTGAAAGCACACGTGGGCCACGTGGGCCTGGCACACAGCAGGTGCGTCAGCATCAGTTCCCTTCCACTTTCCGTTCAGGGGCCTCAGCTCTGCTGCCCTCTCGGGCTGTGCAAATTCTGGATGAGGCTTTGTTTCTTGGCCTCCTTTTCAACAGAGGGAGGAGAAGTGAGGCGCCATCTAAGGCACCTTCCAGAGCCAATGCTTCAGCGATAGAAAGGGCAGACACTTAGCTGCTGGGGCAGTCACGTGATTCCACTGGGGCTAAAGTTTCCACTTCCCAGAGCAGCTCAGGACACCCTGCTTTGCCCACGGCCCTGTGGCGCAAATTAGAAATAGGGGCAGGGGACCCAAGGTGTCCCACTGTGTGTGTTTGCGTCTGGGTTCCTTCCTGTAGAAGGGTCGTTTCCCTGCGGCAGCTGCCCATCGTCTTGCAGGGTCTGCGCGGCAGCCGCCATCCATCACCACTTGGCGTGGCTGTTAAACACCAGTGCTCAGTGCCAGGGGCTGCAGGAGGGACTCTGAGGCGGGTCAGGCAGGGCCAGGAAATTAGAAGGAGGCAATCAACATAGCGGGATCATGAAAACGGCTACCATGCAGGCTGGAGGCCAGGTGGCTGGAGTCAAGTCCCTGGGTAGCGGGTGCTTGCCGCTTGGATGCCTGAAGTCCATTCTCTGGCTTTAGTAATGAATTCATATTCTTCTTTTTCAAAACAGTACTTTCTACTTTCTGACACTCTGATCTCTTCCCCAGCCTCAGGGTTGGGTCTGAAGCCCTGGCATGGACATCAGCACAGCCCAATCCCCCTGTCCATAGAGAGCAGGTGGTGTGGACACACCAGCCCCGCTTAGGTGGTCCCATGAAACTGGAGTCTCTGCTGCAGTCCCAGCTGTCATCACAGTTGGGAGTAGACTTGGACCTTGACCTGCTGCTGCTCCCTGTACCTCTCCAGAGGAGAGGCTTCTTCCAACTAAAACTTAGCACACCAAGAAATGGAGAAGAGAGGTTTCTGAGTTCCTGGATCCAGCCACACTCCTGATGTTGTTACCTTAGACTTTCAGACTTTCTTTTTCCTTTTTGCTACGTGAGTTGATAAGCCCCTTTTGTTGGCTTAAGGGTTTTTCTTTATTTGTTTATTTGATTTGGGATTAAATTGGATTATGTTAACAGTTCCTGAGTCTTCACTCTTAAATTCATCGGACATGTGATTTCACCTCTCTGGATCTCAGTGTTCTTAACTGTAAATGGGATAAGAGCACCATAGAGGGTGATTATGCAGGTAAATGAAGTAGTGCGTGCAAAGCCCTCATCACAGGGTCTGGTTTTGAGCAAGCCACACCCATCCTTTGAGTCCCACGAGGCCCTCACTCACGCATTTGTTCATCTGTAAAGGGGCCTGCTAGGTTTAATGAGGAATCAGGGATGTATGATGTCTTCCATGCAGATTGGCATAGGTGGAGAATGCCTGTTTCATGGTTTTCTGATAAACCTCTCCTCCTTTAAATTGTTGGTGTTGGATATTTTGTCCCAGCAATGTGAAAGTGACTAGCACACAGGAAACTGAGGAAAAAAATGGATGAGAGAACCATAGAGCCAAGCATGGGAGATGAGGGGGAGGGGTCTGAATGGGAACAATTGTCCACTTTGGCTGAGAGGCCATCTTGACTGACCACGCTACCCCTGTCCATGCAGCACATACCACAGCACAGTGCTGAGACACTGGGACGAGTGATGTGTGCACAGGTGAAGGATCAATGAATGTTTCAACCCCAGATGTGATTTGGACTTAATCTCTAGCTTGTGTTGTAGGCAGTTTTCTATCACTGTGACAAAATACCTGGGACAAACAACTTAAAAGGAAAGAAGGTATATTTTGGCTTACAGTTTCAGAGGTTTCAGTCCATAGTTGCTTGATTTCATTGATTTTGGGCCTGTGGTAAGGAAGAACATCATGGTGGGAACATATGGTAAAACATGTGGCTCAATTCGTGGCTGCTGGGAAGCAGAGAGAGAGAGAGAGAGAGAGAGAGACAGACAGACAGACAGACAGACAGACAGACAGAAAGATAGGAAAAGGAAGAGACAAAATATCAAAGGCATACCCCCCAATGACCTCACTTTCTCCCACTAGACTCCACCTTCTTTAGTTCATACCACCTCCTGGTAGCACCACAGGCTGGGACCAAACCTTCAATTCATGGCCTTTAGGGGGCTTAAAGACCATGCCAAATGGTGGGGAGTCATGCAGGGGCTCCAAGAAAACATCACGGATGAAAGATCCCTCTGTACTCTGTGGGGAGCTGATGGGGGAGGGAGACCAGTGGGCTGACTATGGCATCAGGTTGAGATAGAGACATGGGGGGCACGGATAAACGAAGAGGCATGATGCAGAAGGCTCACTAAACTTGGAGCAGAGCCACATACGTGATAAAGGTGCAGGCACGTGTGTGCATCGGTGTTGGTGAGCTCACCTGTGTTGAGTGTGCATTGGTAATGGGTGGGGCTGCATGAGTTGAATGTATGCGACTGCTGGTGAGCGGGTGGGGAGGGGTAGTCCCGAACTGCGTCTCATGCACAGTAGCACAGCACAAGGTAGCCGTGAATAAATATTGGTAAGTGTGGAGTAAACTCTGCCGCATACCTCCCCGCACAGATGCCACGGTGGCACTGTGTAGGGAAGCGCTGGCACACTCACCTGGCTCACGATGCCCCCGAGACTCAGGGAGGCTGGGAAACCAAGATGAGCCAGTGCTGGGCTTAGACCCAGTTCCATAGAGCTCCAAAGTACTTTGCAGCGTGCTGCGTCTCCTCCCTCCTACCACCTCCAATTGCTTTTCCCTAAGCCTTCCCTGCCAGCCTCCCAGCTCCTGGAAAAGGCCAGGGCCAGGGGAGAAGAAGCGGGGGAGAGGGCTCTGCATCGGGACTCAGAAGGCAGCACCTGTTCTTGCAGGAGAGGAGCCGGGAGGCTCTCTTGCTGCCAGCATTTCCCGCTCCTCTCTTCCGGGGGAGAACTTGGCCTCCTTCCCTCCTGCTTGGGACTCACAAAATCTGATTTGAAATCTACTCAAGTGTACATTAACCAACTTCCTCTTGGCACAGGCAGGGGAGCCTATAATTAGAGCAGCCACCATACCATTTAGTGGGTTCCATTCACATGAGCAGAAAGTGAGCTTGCAGAGGGAGATAGCTTGAGAAGCAAACTTGGGAATGTTCTTTAGAGAGTTTGCGCCTGCCGCATGCCAAGAAGATGCACAGGCTGACTGCCTTTCTAAGTGCAGAGATCGTGGCTGCCTGAACTTGGCTGGGGATGCCACCTCGGGGAGGCGGTGTCGGGTAGTCCTTAAACACATTGAGCTTGGAATAGGACACGCTCATGTTCACATCCCAGCTCCAACACCCAGGGAGCAACGCAACTTCCTGAGTCTGTTTCTCCATCTGGGAAACTGGGACATCACCAGTCACCAACCCCAAGGGTTATGTTGTCGCAGTCTGGGTGAGATGGTGGAGATATTTGTATATATCCCAGACAGGTGCTCAGCCATAGTAACAACTGTTCTCACACTAGATTAAAACCACCACCAACAACAAAATAGTCTGCATTTATTGAGCACTTGTTATATTCCAGACCAAGTTTGCATGCATTAACTTAGTTTCATGACAAAGCACCTCCATTATACATTGAGGAAACTGAGTCACAGGAAAGTACATTGCACAAGATCAAGTCAGATTATTAGTACCCTAAGGAGCAGGAGAGAGCATGACTATATAGGGCTCATCTCTTATCTACGGTTTGGCTTTCTGCAATTACAGTTACCCACGGTCAACTGAGATCCAGAAGTACTAAGTGGAACATCCCAGGAATTAACAATTCATAAGTTTAAATAACTTTCGTTGTAC